GTGCACATGAATTACAACATGTAGACAGATTCCTTTTAATGCTTGCTTTGAATACAATGTTGGACTCATTACAGGATAAAATGATGGATGACAAGGAAAACAGGACTGCTCAGACTAAATAAAGAAAGAAATGATTGTAGATATGTCTAGGAAAGATTTTCACTGTTTGCTCAAAGGTGTATTTAGGTGATTCTACATTAAAGGACTCAACGTAAGAGCTTCTTCTCAAGAGTCTCTTCAGAAACACGAGCTGCATTCAAACACCCAAAAATGACAAACCACCAAGCGCCAAAGTATTTTAGGAAAACTTGGGAAAACCCTTGATATGAATAGTAAACGGTGAATCAAACTTTTTACAGCATCAGGGATTTTCCTTATTAAACAGCTTATTGATTGTATTACATTAAAAGCCCTTCACAGTTGTTTGATTTCACATGTTTGATGAATTATGTAAAATAAATACTAATCTACATGCAAGTTTGTTTAAACATCTGATTTCCAAGTGTATATTTCTGCAGACGAGGGGAACATGTGCATGTGCACAACAGAAGAACTTTATCAGCCAAGTTGACCTTTATAATAAAATCATCTCTTAACATATGGAAACAATTATCGAATATTGAACAGTGTAAAGTATGATGACCTTGAATTTTGCTTGAAAAAAAGCAAAAAAGGTGATGTGAAAAAAAACTGACACGTTACATTTCCTTTCATCATTTGGTTTGTTAATGTTTGTTCTATATGTATGATCTATATAGAAGTTATAATAAGGGTGTAAAATCTGACAAATGAATGTTCCAAACAATTTTTTCATTCAAAAATAATCAAACAATCAATTAATCAATTAATTATTTTAATAAGTACTATGGAGAAAAAGGACATCTGCATCGGCACATGTATATTGTCCTGTTTTAGATGCCAGTTAAATGTAGAGCCATAGCCATACTCGTGGTTAAAGGAGCAGTTTAATGATGGGAACAATGATGCTGTACAACAGCCACTCGGCTCCCTCTACTGGCCATGAATAGATACTGCAAATACATGAGGAACAGTGTAAGGCAAATTGCTGCATCAACCTTCTTCATTGTGCAAATGTACAGCTTTTAAAACTTTTAAACCAAATAATACAGTTTTGTGAACATTTTTGTCAAAAGAAGTCACGAAAAAGTATGACGAACAACGTTGTACATAGTTTAGTGTATAAAGCAATAAATGAAAAAACATACTTAGTATGTTGAATAAAATAAATAGTATGTAAAAAATATAGTAAATAAAAACGGCTTAGTATAGTATGGCGAAAATATTATAAAAACGACGTAGTATAGTATGTCAAAAAAATTCAGAAAACTGCATATGTATAGAAAGTCGAAAATATTTTAATCTACATATGTTGAAAATATGCAACAAAACGACATAGTATGTCACAAATATTATAAAAACGACATAGTATGTCAAAAACATGCAAAAAAACGACCGTCGAAAATAGGCAAAGAAACAACGTAGTATAGTTTGTCGAAAATATTATAAAAACGTTATAAAATAGTATGTCGAAAATATTGTAAAAAAGACATACAGTAGTATAGTATGTCGAAAATATGCAAAAAGACGACGTAGTGTAGTATGTCTAAAATATTATAAAAACGACATGGTATAGTATGTCAAAAATATGCAAAAGTCGACTTTACTATTTCGTTTTTATACTATTTTCGAAAATATTATAAAAACGTATCGTTTTTTGCATCGAAAATATGCAAAAAATGACATAGTATATTATTATGTCGAAAATATGCAAAAAATGACATAGATTAGTGTGTCAGAAATATGCATAAATATGACAGTATGTTGAAAATATTTTTTAAAAACGACATAGTAAAGTGTGTCTAAAATATTATAAAAACAACATAGTATGTCTAAATAATTATAAAAACGACATAGTATAATTTCGAAAATATGATAAAAACGACATAGTATAATTTGTTGAAAATATTATTAAAACGACATAGTATATAGTATGTCGAAAATATGTAAAAAAAACAACAAAATATAGTATATCTAAATTATTATAAAATGACATATAGTACGTCGAAAATATGTAAAAATTGACATAGTATGTCGAAAACATGCAAAAAAACGAAATAGTATAGTATGTCAAAAATATGCAAAAACATTGCATAGTATAGCAAAAATAAATACAAATGTTATATAATGTTCAAAATATTAACAAAACGACATATTAGAGTATGTAAAAAAATATCAGAAAAACGACTACATTCAGCATTTCGAAAACATCAATAAATCAACATATTATAGTACATTGAAAAATATCAGAACAAAAACAATACAGTATAGTATTTTGAAAATAGCGTACAGTATATTAGAGTATTATGTCGAAACTATTGGAAAAAACATACAAGCACACACACGGGGGAGGCGTGTGGTGCAGTGGGTTGTGCGTTGGTGTTCGGATCAGGGGGTCACAGGTTCAAACCCCACTGCAGTCAGCATGTCGTTGTGTCCCTGGGCAAGACACTTCACCCCAAATTGCTCCTGTGGGGATTGTCCACAGTATTGAGTATGTAAGTCGCTTTGGATAAAAGCGTCTAACAAGTAACATGTAATGTAATGTAATGTAACACACATTGATCAGTAACTCAATACAGGATGTACTGTACCTTAGTTAACATGACACAATTCCAACATCACCAATAAATACAGAGATCTTTTAAAACATTATCAAGCTTCATAAAAGATTTACAGCCATTCGGACAGAGCTTGAAGGCAAGTTCACAAAGATACAAAAAGAAACGTTGTATATGGTGAGCAGGTCATGCTTTACATTTATTTCTGTACGCAGGCTACACAACAACAAATCCTTTATTGAAACCCCAACGTATGTAGTTCATCTTTATCATAGACATTACTGTATATTAATGCTCCACATATTTATATGGCAGATTTACAGGACCTCAACTAAAAGGAAAAATCAGTGTACGAATTGAAGAACTGCATTTCAAGGAGCTTTTAAAAGAGTCCTTTATGGCACTGTAGTTGATTCATTCAGACACAGACATCACGCTGTGTTGTAGATGGGGAGCATCAGACAGGAGTAAAAGCAGGGTGCAGATTTACAGCCGAGCACACACACATGAATCTTTCAGTAGGATATTTCATCTCCCTGGCAATAACACAGACTGTTCCACGTGCTCGCTGCATGTGAGTCACCGCTCTGATCCTGCTGTTTGTCCTCCTCCAGACTGAAACAAAGACCGTGTATTACTGAAAGCACAATTTAGAAATCCTCTTAGCTGCCCATGCAAATACATTGTGTATGCTATTGGCTGTATTGTGTAAATGACATGCTATAAGGGGGTGTTATTAGAGTAATTGGGCGATTAGGCAACATTTGGTGGCTTTAGTTTTGGTTAGTATAGATAGCACTATTTCTGGAGCTTAAATGAGAAGAAACAAAACTAACTGCAGCATGAAACTGATCAAAACATATATACCCACATGTGTATTACAGTAACAGTTTTCCATATTAACATGTAGAAGAAGAAAACTTGTCTTGGGATTTGTGTAGGCTTTCTCACAATTCTCTCTGTAAGAAAATGATACAGGTCATTATTATTAAACTTCACCAAACGATTTGAACACTGTGGAAGATGTTCTGTTTTCACATTATGGAGGATTAAGGATTGAAAAACCATGAATAGTTTGCCCTGCAGACGTTTCTGAAGGATCAACATGAGCCCTGTGTATTCATAGAATGTCTCTTTTCACAACAACAAACAAACCAAAGGTTAGAGGGGATGTTAGAAATGAAAGTTTGTTCAAATATTTTATTGCATTTGGACACCAGGAAAACTAGTACTGAAATAAAGACAGTGGTTGCCATATCAAATTATGCAGGATTAAAGGACTTTAACTTGCAGTATTACAAAGGTGACACTAGAGGGCGATAGCAGCACACCTATACGAAAGTATGGAACACAGTTTCCTGAAATATTACAATTTTAACCAACACTTATTATCTGGGTTTTATAAAACTGCTTTACAGTTATGTGGTGAGCAGTAAGAGGAATGTGTATTAGTATTAATACCACACTTTAAGCATACTCTTTATAAGATGAAGTTCATTTAGGATATTACCAAAGTATCACCAAGAAAATGTTCTTGAATTACAGAACAATATATATTTCTCAGAATAATGGCCCAAAGAAAAGTACCAATGTATAAAGTAGCATAGTGTGTACATCACATTAAATTACCTTTACATTTCACCATTGCTTTTATACAGCAATAACTAAGTACGTGTGAAACTCTTCAGAAACAAACCAGGCTTTAGTACTTTTCCCTTGGGCTTCATTCCAGATGCTATTCTTAGACCTGAGATCATGACAGTCTTCATATAGATATGTGATATGAAAAACAATGAATGTCATCACATATCCAGATGGCCATCATCTGGACAAATTAGATTTACGGTTGAAAAAAGGAAAGAACCTGTAATATATTCCATGTGTACGGTTAATTTAGCGCCCTCACAATTTGTCACTGATGCATCATTTAAGCTACTTTTACCCCCCTTCCGAACGAATTGGATCATACAAAAACATTTTGACTGAATGATATGAATCACAAGATATGCTCTTTATGTCTTACCCAGCAAGTTCTAAAGCCTGTTAAAATCAATGTCAGGCTGGAGGGCTTTAATTCGCTAACAAGTCTCATCTTGCCCGTAATGTGGAATCTTTTGAACAAGGTTTTATCTTTCATTTCATGGTTATTTATGCAGAACAATCCACTCTGAGTTTGTTAAACTGGGGTTGCGGCTAAAACTCTTTAAGTAGCCCCCTCAGTAGAAAATCGAAGGGCTACACAAAGGTCAGATTTCAATAAGCGCGTTTTTAGAGTGTGTACACTTGCTGAAGAGTTTTGAAAATTAACGGACGCCTGCGGTGACAGACTTATGAATTTGTAAATAAACGACTGAGTCATGGTTAAAGATTACCAGCTTCTCTTTTATTGAAAAATATAGCTGTTATTTCAAAGAAAGGAAAATAAGGAAGGTAAATATATTAATATACTGTAAAACCAGAATAAGGAGTAGGAAAAGAAAAACAGTACAAACTCGGCATAACACTACAGCCACTGAATAGAAAAAAAAGAAAAAACATTCACAGCAGAACTCTGAGCAGGTTGTTTTTCACGTCCTTATCTTTTCCCGCCACTCCAAAGCAAAGCTGTCCGGGCGCAGAAAACTTTAAGACCTGGGGCAGAAAGAACTTGCAAATTATTTTTAAAATAGTTTGTTCTGGCCTACTTAGGAGTGTCCTCAAGAGAAACAAGAAGAATGCCAGCAAAATTAAGAAAATACAAAGAAAGTACTTCAGCGTAATTTAGTATACTTTCCCATGATCCTCTATTAACCTCTTCGACTTGCGACAATTTGGCCACAAATGTGCCATTTAGTGTTGACTCCGCTAACATTCCCACGGTAGAACCACACCGTCACACTGCTGATAACAACCAGTGTTTAATGTAATCATCCATGGCACTAACTATATGTACATGACTTGATTAAAACAACGGCAGATAAGGAGTGTTTTTGTTCTCTTTTTAGAGTGTTCATTTCTTAGCGATGAACGTGAAGGACTGCAGCAGCGCAAACCATTTCATTCTGGACCAATAGAAGTAAAGACGGCTTCCATTTTGGCTCATTGGCATCAAAATGTGAGCTGACTCTGTTTTGCATATCTACACATAAGTAACAACAACACAATCATACATCCTGCTAACGTTACCCAATAATAAAGTTAGAACATACTTGGCAATTTCCTCTAGATTGCTTTTAAGACAAACTTCTTTAAACCTGTTTCTGTTTGGAAACATCACAATAACCCGAGGCAGAATGGCACAGCATCCTGATTCGACGTGCACACCCCCTGCGTCAACAGGAAGTTCAAAAACCTGGCAATTAGTTTCTTAACACCAAATGAAAAAAAAGGGTCATATTAACCGTGGATACCTTATTTAGACCTGTAGGAGCCTGCATCGTAGAAAAGAAACCAAGAGAAGCCGCCCACCTGCCCGTCCCTGACCCTGCTGTTTGTGGAGCAGATCCAGCTGGTTGGGGGCCAATAATGCAGCACATTTAATGAGTAGGCCAGATGATGGGTTCATTTAATCATGTGTTCCTACTGTGTGATTTGGTTGTGTACAGGAGGTATCACTTGTGGGGCCAGTTTAGGAAATATGTGACGCTGCCCGGGGACATTCCTGATGCTTTATTAAGTAGCTGCGCTCTAATAACACACTCTCTCTTCCCTTAGAGACGCGCCTGAACACATGTCTAGAGAGAGGATGTGTGTTTTGGATAGAGCCCTAACTATTCATTTGAATAGAACAATTTGTCTACAGCGACGACTCCCTTTCAAACGCTTTCATGCCTCTCTTTGACCCGCCTATCATCTGAGTGATGATGTGGAATGAGTTGTGAAGATACAAAAATAAACACAACTTCTGTGTTGTTGTTGAAAGACAAGTACATGACACCAAACATAAGGCCTTCTTTTTAGGACCATTTTTGCAATTTGAAACCACTCACAGCGGGTGATTTTGTGAGCTAGTACAGCCTTACCATGACAGTGAAAGTAGGAGTGATGTGACTTAGACACTTGAATGTCTAATTGAATCCAATATGTAAGTGCTAGGCAGCCAACTTCAACGTAAAGAAGCTGGCTAACTCTTTAGTTCAATTAAGACGTAAGAAATTCAACGTATCAGAGAACCTTGAAATCTAAACTTTTAAGACCTCGCAGTGCACATTTAGTATGATCCATCCCTTATAAAACATGTTGAATAAATACCACAGCTCTCTATGGGTTTAAAGAGGAGAGATTTCAAAGAGAGACAGGGGCAACATGGTAAACTACCAAACTCAAATACAAGAGAGCTACTGTAGACCAACTTCCAGATACTCTATGTACATATTATAAAGTACAAAATAATCACCCTTTAAAGTCAGACTTGGACAAAAGTAGGAACCTACTTTATCTATTTAGTGTCTATGCCAAGTTATGGCAACATGAGCTCCATGATCACTCCCACACATTACAAAGCTATCAGAGTTCCACTTCTTTTCCTTTCCCTCTTTCTTTTTCACAATCTGTAGCACACGTCCACATCTGGTTTGTGACTTCACGTATCCTTCTCCGCACATTACATAATATACCCCAAATGTGATATTCATTTGATTGACAGCTGGGGTTAGGGCTCTTTAACCATATTGCCGCCCTTTACTTATTAAATCGAGCAATGCACCTTTGAGAAGGACACGGTTCGGAGCCAGTCTTATTATAAAATGGAGAATTCCTCAATAAGTTCAGAGTCTGGTGTTGCAAATTAACCCAAACTTTGCAAGAGTTTCACTTTGTGAGCCCGTCTGACACGCTCTTGGCTCATATCTCCTTGCAACAGCACGGTGAATAAGGCTTAATTGGTTTTTATTTATGATGTAGAACAAAGTGGGCAGAGATTAGATTGATCTACAAGAAGCTTAAAAGCAGATGTGCCCCTGCTTCTTAATCCCTCCACTGCCCTTTTCCAGCTTGGTCTTTTACATGAGTGTCCTTCAAGACTGTTCGTGGCAGTGATAGGTAAAACATCTACACTCGAATCTCATCATCGTCATCATCCATGAAGGTGAATTCTCGGTCTTCCTCCCCACGTGGCGAGCTGTACTTGGCACTGTCCGTGTCGTTGTCGTGGAACTGCGGTTTCTCCTCGGTGACGGAGCCGGCGCTGGACACGGAGCAGCTGTCCACGTTGTGGTGGTTGTTCCTGGGGTGCAGCTCGGGGGTGTAGGGCTCCACCACGGGCTTCTGCTGGTACATGCTGCGGGGGGGGCCTGGAAGGGGCCTTTTCCTCCGTGTCATCGTCATCTATGTGGGGGATGAGGGAAGGCGACGCCCGGCCCTCGCCCTCCTCGTAGCCGAGGTCGTCCTCCTCCCAGCCTTTCTTTTCCATCACGCTCAAGATGTCCCCGAGCATCGAGGGCCCCAAGTCGATGTTGAAGGACATCATGGACTCCGCGTGCTTCATTCCGCCTCCCTTGGGCATGAATGGAGGCAAATCGGTAAGTTCGCCGAAATTGCGCTCGTCAAACTCTGCATCCAGCGTCGCCATGGCTGCGGCTCCGTTCGATGGCTTCTCGATCTCCGACAGTCTCTTCATGGGGCTGGAGGAAACGCTCTTCGGCAGTCGTTGGCCTCGGTTCACATCCTCTTCGTTTAGGTAAGGCATGGATATGGCGTTTTTGACATAGGCCGACGAACCGCCAGAAGGCCCCGTCATGGTGTACTCGTATTTGTCGCCCCGGTTTACTGACTGAGAGCGCTTGCTGCTTCTGAAGGTGCGGGACAGCAGACCTGGTTTGGGCACCGGGGAGCTCTGCTTAGGTTCCGGCTCCCTGGGAGGTTCCCCTGATCGGGTGCTCAGAAACGAAGTATCCCCGAAGGCGTCTCCTCCGCGGCCAACGTGCATGGTGTGGCGGAAGTCGCCCAATGGAGCGCTGATCATCTCGGCGGTCAGGTCTGCGCGGGGACCGTCTCTTGGACTGGTTAGAGTTGTTCACCAGCTGCTTGAGGATCGGCATGATGGCAGTCTGTTACTTATAATCCACAGAGAGAAATGTGAGCTAGCTTCTGTAGGAGTTCAGAGGAGTTCCTTCCAAACTTATTTGGCTGAGGTTTTGTCAAAGAAAGTATAATTCCAGGTGTTTAATGTGTGCAGCCATTCTGGTCCTTCAGCTCAAGTTTCCTTCCACCGTCAGATAAACCTATGAAAAAGAAGAGAGAGCATTAAAGCCACATCAGTACTCTAATCCTTGGCAGGAAGTGTGGAATTAATAGCATTTTATTCTGCTGAAAATTTGAAACACCACTTTAAATGCTTCTTTAAAGAGCTATGTCTATTCCTTTCTCATCACCCACTATCGCATAACTGGCTCCGTCCCGATCTGCACTAAGTATGGAGACTTTCGTTGCCAGGGCTTCAGAATGAATCCTCACTTGAGTGGTTCTTAACTAATGAAAAGCTTTTATATGCAGAAGTCTTTGAGGGTGTTATGTAATGGTAAAGAAATGCTTTCTTGTACAAAGTTCACAGCACTCAAAACCAGTGAAATATCCCCAATGAGGTTTACCAAGGCAACTATTCCCATCCCAGTTGTGCTAGTACCATTCTTCTGGTACATTTGAAAGCTCTTTCTAAAAGACCCCTATAATAGGCTGCTGTCACTTTCAGTTTTTCAAGTAGCTGCAGTGTCCGATGTCTCTGCTGTGCTTTAGTTCCCATTTAGGCCCCCGACTGTTACATAACCAGCAAGACACAGGATACTCGGAGCAAGAGCAGTTCAAGCTGGCAGGAATAAAACAAAAAAAAAAGAAGTGGAACAGCATTTCTTCAGCATGGATCAACTGGCTGCACAGCTCAGAAAGTCCAGATCTGCTACATTCTGTTCTAACCTTCCTGTCAAGAGATGAAATGTTTCCATCGGAGGCTCTGTGCTTTTCTTCACTTTGAGCTTTTGTCTCTTTTGCCTTGAGAGCGACATTTAAGCACCTCCAACATAATATTGTGTTCTGTCTATCACTGAACACACATCAATGGCCACGTTTGACCTAGCTTTGTCTATTATCTCTAGAGATGGCAATGGAAGTGTTTTTTTTGTATGCGATGGAAGCAGGGTGCTCTTGATTTAACGCAGCTCACTTTGATCCTGATGATATTTGAGTGGATAAGCAGATAATATGGCTCATTTCATACACTGTCCCTAAGTCACCAGTGACGCAAGCCTTGAAACGTGATCGTAAAGCAGAACGAGTGGAGAATAGGTCTTAACACCCACTTATGTGCTGGTTACACTCTACTGGATCCATGTGTTACTGACATTAACAAGGGTTCCCATTGTTTTAGCCAGACAGCAATCCCGCCATTCTCCGTGTTTTCAGACTGCAGCTGAAGCCCACGCTCTGGGCCCGTATGTACGCATCCCCACAGTGAATGAATGGGGGCTTCACTCAACAATATTCCAAAAGGAACGTCACCCATGAAAACATTTGCATCTCTGACAAGAACCCATTGAATTGGAAAGGCAACTGTAGCACTAGAGGGAACAGAAGGGGGTTTGATAGATGATAAAAGATAGCGCTGTGTTTTTGTTCACAGCGCTTTCAGAAAAAGATGTCATTCCCAAAGAGAACTGAACTCTATCCACTGCCAAAGGTTTGCATCCTCTATATCCAACAACTCCATTCAAGCTGTAGTTGTGGTGCTGTTGAATGGAGGAGATGCACTGTCCCTGCAACAAGAGCCGGCCTAACAAAGGGCAAATTCATTTACAATAGTACTTATTTTCAAGTACTATTGTTAAAGCTAGTTCAAGTTCACACGTGACAATTGGAATGGGCTTACTGCTACGAAGGCTATTCAAACAGCAACTGGATGCCAAATTGTAAGATTATAGCGCAGAGCAAACACATTCCCACAAAGTCCCTCTAAGCGGGGTCCTAGTTGTTAGATTAATGCAGTATGATCTATTATTAGCTAAACCCTTTATTCCTTCATGCCTTGTGCGGTAGCCAATTAGTATCCACTGCACAAAGGCTGCCGAATGTGTGACTGACCACTCAAGACAACTCATCTGCAATGTTCCTCCCCGCTGCGCATAGTTTTGTGTTTCTCTATGGCAACGTCAGAGCAGAGCACTGGCTATGGAGCGAGCTTCCTGTCTCTAAGCCGGCCGGAGACAGCCAGTGAGATTTATCCCCTGCATGGAGAGATCAGATGGATGGATTAACCCTTCCTGGTGGCCACATGCAGGGCAATAAGACAATAACTACGCTGCTCTAGCTGAAGGGGAATGCCTTTGATGCGCCTCGTCACCCGAATACATTCAAACCCAGCATAAAATATGTCAGCGGGTGCTCGAATATCAAAAGGTGCCAGTCCCACACCTTTAGTTCATTCTAGGAAATGGCCCATTTAATGTCTTTTGGGACCCCTTGGTGTTTGACGAGGAATAGTTCAATCCCCCCCCTCCCTCTCCAGGATCATCAAGACCCCATTATTGTGGGCATGACAAAAGATGAAGTACAGCCTGCAGGCAGCCCTGTCATATTCAGTTCTAGCCTTTCAGCGCTCTTCAAAAGATAAACCATGAAGAATGACAGTGTTATGTGTTATGCATTCTCCCGTTTCAAACATTCCAGAGACCATTTAAAACGCCTAAAAAGGGAGCACTAATGTTGCGTATGAAACTGGGGCCGTGGTAAATGTTCTTTCACATAGAGCGGAGAATGTATGCTTCTCTTCTCTCTGTTGTTCTGGGAGTCTATCCAGGCTTTCTCCAAATATATTAGGCATTTAGGTTAACTGTTTTAAATACGATACCTGAACATTTCTACAATATAGACTGCTAAATACTTCATCATATTTAAGTGCAATGATAATAAATCTGTTCTGTTAGCTTGGAAGAAAGATTGTGTCCAATGTTGAGGCTTTTTATCGATTAAAAATAATAAAATGTTGTGCTTATTTTTCCTTCATATTGAAATACCAAGATTCTGTCAATTGCAAATTACAAACTCCACCTTTTGGATTAATGTCATAATGATTAATACTGCAAGTTTATTCTCATTTCAGACCTTCAAATAGAAAGAATTGGTTGTACTATTTTACATTACTGTAGTAGGTAATGGAAAATAAAGTTCTAAATAGTTTTGCTTGGGCTGTCTCTTGGATTTCGTGAACATACGGAGAATACTATACAACTCACTCAAAAATAAATGAAAAGGTTATTTCTCCTCAGTGTCTAGACCAATAGAAAAACATACAGTCGCCCCTCTCTTGTTTGCTCATACATTGTGCTAAGGTCAAACCGGAAGACTAGGGATTCCAGTCTGACCTGTATGGCTTTCAATACACTCCGTTCAGCTGGGGGCAGAATTTCATCTCCGCTATCTTTTTACAGGCTCATGGAGCAAAACAAAAAAGCAGGTTATACAACTCAAAGATAGCAATCACTTCAACACAAACATACAGGTGAACATATTTGCTGTAGGCCACTAGATAAGCCCAAAGAGTATTATATTGTTTGTTTGAGTTGAGTATATTGCCTCAGCCATGGTGCCAGCCCGTGACGAAGCCTTTATGTAACAGAGCTCTCAAAGTGCCACATGACTCCAGCTCGAACTGAGACAAGTGGTGACAGGGCCATGAATGATTAAGAGCATCGTGTCGCTGGCAGACTCTGAATGACATCACAACAACCAGCATGCTCAGCAGCGTTCAGTCTCGCTCTTGTAATCCTGTGGATCACAGGCGCCACACAGTCCTCCGCTATCCCACACCACTTTCTCTTCATTCACCCCGATGGAGCAGGGGAAAGAGGCTTTGGCTGCTCATCCAATCACAGCTCGCCTACTGTCGAGTTAAAGCAACAGACGTGCACTGACTGCGAGAGTTTCTGGTTTTATTTTAGACTTTGTTTGAATCTTTTAAAAGGAGAGGGAGAGTCCATCATTTATTCACAAGGTAGAAGCCTTGAAGAGTTACAAGGAGACATGAACAGTGCAATTACATAACTGTTATTATGTTAAAAAATGCCTTTTCTACATCGAAACAACTGTATCAATATCAAAATATTCATGTTAACTGACTTTCAATATGCAGTTACAGATGTTCCTTTGGGCAAGCAAACACTACTAAAGTTATGTTTTACCAACTCTTTTCTTCTCCAGCGTTCCCCCCATGTTTCTAAACTATGATTTTCAAAACAGAGACCTTGCCGTGTGAGCAACAAGAAAACCTCTGCTTTGTTTAACCTTGAATCTGCTTTTGTTCAGGCCTATTGTCAGCAACATTGATATGCAAATGAAAATAAAGAGTCAGCCAACGGCATCTATGACATTGCTAATCAATTGATGCATAAGAATGGTAAGTGCCCAACTCTGACAAAGAAGGTCGGCAAACTTCATTTGCAGCTACTTTGTGAGGCCCATAACCTCCAGCCCAAACATCTGATTCCCACGGGGGGGGAAGAGGACGCCGTCAGAGCCAGAAGCAGAGAAATAACAACACGGAATCTTGTTCAGGTAACTGTCCGTGTTTATTTTCATCTTCCTTCAGAATTATCCCATTGTCATCGTCCAAACACAACAACTGTATAAACAAATATAATAAATATAGAAATGTTTGCTATCAAAGAGGCTAGAAATGAAGGAATTAGGAGGCTTCATCCACTATGTATGAATGCGTTTCCGCCTCACATCATGGTGCTGTAGCCTTGGTGCCAGCTCATTAGCACAGCGCCGTCTCACTTTGCTGTTTCTCTAGCCGCCTCGAAGTTTCCTCCAGTCCAACATCTACTTATTGTCCTTAACTCACCGCACAGATAAAATATGAAGAAATACTCGACACAAACTCAGCCTCACGTCGCATTACAACACACCTGAAAATACAATCAATCCAAAGTAATGATACTGGATTTTAACACTGAAACTGTTTAGACAATCCATAACTATTGAATTATTCATCAGGCCCTATGCCCTCAATATTGCGTATTCTTGTCCCTGAGGTATTGAAAATGGAATCCAATGTATATATTTTTCTAGTTAATATAGAAGTAAGAGATTCCAGTATCATGTAAACACTGTCTGACAGGATCACAGAATGTGTGACAGTAACATAAGAATGCCAACCTGTTACACATAACACTCTAAAATAAGCCACCCTTTGTTCCTGCATACCACCTCATGACTGGCTCCTACGGA